TAATGAGATCACAAGAAACTTGTTATATCACCTGCAGGAAATTACTTTCCATCTGGCACCAATGTACCTTGATCACAAACACCACTTGCCCCTCAGACCCTTTGCTTCTCTCACACACAAGTTAATGATTACTGACTGATTGTTTTCTCCACGCTCACCACGTGTATAATATCTTGTTTTCTCCACATTCACCACGTGTGTAAGATCTTGAGTACTCAATAAATACGGAGATAAAACGCCTGTTCCAGCTTTTGTCTCCTCCTGGACGTTAGTCTCTCTCCTATTTAATTCTGTGTCCACTCTCTTGCTGACAAAGGGAGAACTCCAGGTTCCTAGTCTGTGACACATGATCTTTTAAAAATTGTTTCCTGGGTGGTCTATGACCAGAAAGAGGGGCTCTGAGCTAGGAACAAAGATACTTCTTGAAGAGGGAGCAAATATTTTCAACAGGAGTCTTACAAGCCTAATAAAGGTGGGGGAGGGGAAGAGTATTATCCTAAATTTTAAGAGAATAGGCAAAAATTCAGAGAACAAGAACAAGACCTTGGGGCTAAATAGGTGCTGAATGGTGATGAAACCCCATGCGTATGACTGGAGGTTTGATCATTATAGGGCAGAAATTTGGACAAACTTTAAAGTCAGGATGTTGGATGTGCCTTCATGTGAAATGGCCAAACACCCGAGGCACATCAGGAGACAACAGTATCAGTTAATATATTGAGGGGGAAGTGGAAAATAACAAGAATAGCAGACTTTGGGAGGATTTGGAGAGTGGGAAAAGCATAAGATACATACCTTAAATACTGAGAATAATCCCATAAGGTCCCTTAACTGGAAATAAAAGCAGAGAAGAGAGAATTTCTCCTACCTAAGTCCACATCTGGGCACCAATGGCCAGAAGTCAGGGAGGGAGTATCCCACATGTTCCCATAAACAACAATGGAGTAAACTTTGTTAAATTATGTTTTAAGAAGTTTATTTTGAGAAAGAGGGAGAGCATGGGGGGGGGGGTGTTAGAGGGAGAGCGAGAATTCCAAACAGGCTCCATGCTGTCAGCACAGATGGGCCATGAGATTGTGACCTGAGCCAAAAACAAGAGTCGTACCCTTAACCGGCTGAGCCACCCAGGCACCCCAGGAGTGGAGTAAATTAACCCCAAGTGAGACAAGTAAAGATTGCAACATGTGCAGAGCTATCAAAGTGAGTTTAGGAATTACCAGCAGGTGATGGCGCATACACACATATCAGGAGTCTGTGGCAGAAATCTAAACCAAGCTGATGAGCAGGACAGGGATGGGATGCTGGAAGGAGAATATTATAGTCAGAAGAGGCCAAGTGTGTGGGAACATCCAAAGTAAAACATTAAGCGGGTAATGAACCAGGCATTTGAAAGTATTATGAGCACAGGGCAGGACTAGGAAGGCAAAAAGCAGTATCCAAGAGACTGATTACTAGAACAATCTTCTACCTTCTTGAAGCTGGGTTTTCTATTGTTCCCATGCAACAGCCACTAATCCCAGAAAAGCAGTGGTTTCCAAATTTACAGAGCAAAAATATAACCTAGTGGGCATGTGAAAATACAATTCTAGATTTGTACCACCAGGGATCTTAAGATTAAGCCCAGGAATCTGCATTCTAAATAGAAGCACCACTGAAAATGCCATTTCAGTTGGCTTACCAACCACTGTCAGAGAAAGATAGCAGTGTGATTAATCCAGGGGCCCTGATGGTAAGACAGTTCTGTAAACATCCTGTTAAATAGCCGAGAGTTTCAGCATCCCCACCTGGCGAGCAAATGCTAACTCCTGTGAGAGGCAAGTTCATGGCCCAGCTGTCACAACTTGTTGCAGTTGCTTGGAAACATCTACTCCTTTTACTTGTTTTTGTATCTTCTTTGATTTTTAATGTTGCCATTTTACCCTGGGTTTAATATTCTGCATCATTTCCAATCTTGTTTGGAAACAGGTGGGATATAAATCCTAATTAAATAAAAAAATTGCTGATGGCCTCTCATGTAATCAGAAGTGGAAAAAGGGAGTAATGCTGTTTAGTTGAATAACAAAATGTTTTATACTGAGTCTTTCTAGATAATGTATGGGAGAGTACCTTGAAAACTGTCAAGTTTTATACAACGAGATGATTTTTAAAATATCAGTACTTTATATGTACCAAATAAGTATGTGTATTTATCTATTGTATTCCTATAAAGTATCTACTCAAAGCTTCTTGTACTTAGGTTTTAGTAATTGAAGGGGGAAAGACCACGTTTCCATCGAGTATACCTAAAGAGAAGAATACATCTCTTTGTCAAAATATTGTGGCTCTTTATTCTTTGTAGTTCTTCCAAATCCTACAAACAGAGAGGATTATCAGTACCATCTGAGTATGTGTGGGCTTGAAAGCTCTAGATGTTTCTAAAAGATCAAGGCTTTTGATGCTTTTTTTTTTTTTTTTTTTTTTTAAATCCTGGGAGCTTTTGGTGCAAGTTAATCCTTATGATGTCTCAGACTATCGCTCTACAAACCCTTCCTAAGGCTTCGATGTAATGGACATAAACCATTTTATGTTGGACCAGGTTCAGCTAGGGTCTTCCTGTGGTCTGTGCTTGGCAATTGGCCTATTTGCAGAAAGGCTTGTCTCCATCTGCAATTATGCCAAGGTCTTCATATAAATGCTGTTATGCATTCAAATGGAGCAGTCCAAGCAAGACATTTCTGATCAGATTGAAGAATACATATAAGAGAGAAATGTTGGCTGTGCCTGGCTAAGGTGATAAAATTACTTTAACAACGGAGGATCCAGGCAAAAGATAGATTTATTGATGTGACAGTCTTCAGGGAAACCAGAAACATGATCTCAGAAAGATGTATACTCAAAAGGAGGCCTTAGGGAATATTCTTGTCTCTTGAAATAATGGGGAATCTGGCAGGAGGAGTTGTGACAATCGGGAGAGGACAATAAAGATTAAAATTTAGAGTTGGTTGGAGAGAGAATCTGAGTTGCCTTTCATATATGTGACAAGGTTGGCTATATCTCTAAGAAATTAAAATTATGAGTGAATACAGGGAACAAACTGATGGTTGCCAGAGGGGAGGGGAGTTGGGGGAATGGGAAAAATGAATGAAGGGGAGTGGGAGATACAGTACTCCAGTTACAGAATAAGTCACAGGGATGAAAGGTACATCATAGGGAATACAGTCAATGGTATGATAATAGTGTTGTGTGGTGACAGTTGTGGTGAGCACAGCATAACATGGACTTGTCAAATCACTGTTGCACACCTGAAATGAGTATTGTGTACCGTTGTGTCAACTATACTTCAATTAAAATAAATTTATCAGGTTGAAGGATGTGTAAGTGTCGACTTAATATTTGAAGAGCTATTTTAACTATTGACCATTGTGTTATTTGGGGCAACCATTTTTAATTTCTGTTTAAAGAGAATATTTATTTTCCCAGTTTTATCAATTTTGCTGATGATAAATTCTTGATGCCAAAAAAAAAAAAAAGAAATTAGAATTACGTGGATATTCAGCTTATAGCTTTTATAGAAAATGAAATAGCTTTCTTTTGCTATCCAGGCCACTGGATCACCCAGTAACTTGAGGGAGAGTAAATAATTTACCTTTGAGGAGCAAGATTAACGCCGCTTCTGTTAGTTTAACTTGGACTAAGTGGGTTTTCCTGTGGGCTTAGTGTTTGGGGTCATGATTAGGCCCCTAGGAGAGCTGGGCCTGTTTCTTCTCAGAGCTTGATTACCAAGAAGGTCTTGTGACAAGAAAGAGCTCTTCTTCCTAAGAAACCACTCATGCTGTTGCTTTACACACGGTGCAAAACGTGAAAAGAGACACAACCCATCTCCTGGTGTCCTTTGTTAGCTGTGTCTAGAGAGGCCAACATTTGGCCATTGTAACTTTTATTAGAGTAAAATTTCATAAAAATTAATTACCTGTTTCGTTTACACCAGCAACTTAGGAAACTCTGCCCTACTTCTCTTCTAGCCTGTCCACCCTTTCCCCGGCTGCTCCTTAAACTTGGGATTTAGCTATAATATATAGCTGATACACTGTTAAATTGTACAAAGTGTGGTTTTGTCGACCTATTTCATTGTGCTTCTCTGGTCCATGACTCTCCTCAAGGAATTTCTCCATTTCTCCGTTCAAAGAGCGGTCCCATGGAATGTCAGTGTGTGTATCTCTAGCTTAACGTAGGAAAGGAAAATACAGGGTTTTTGAGATTTATTTCTGCCCTTACCTAAACAGTGCTGCCGAGGGAAAAAAAAAATCCTTTAAAGGGGGGCTAAACAAACAGGAAAAAACACAGTGCCTGTGTGTCTGTTGGTTAGGTAACCAACACCAGATTTTGGTTCAGCTCATTGATCTCCATTCCCCAAGATAGAGCCAGCCCCCCATGGGGCTCTGCAAGGCTCTCTGCCCCACCCCTGCTCACACATGCTCTTGTACTCACTCTGTCGAAAGATAAATAAACTTTAAAAGGGGGGGGGGCGGAGGGTCACTGAATCAAGTATTACTTATACATTTATCTGGATCTCTGCCCACTTTATCTTATTTTTCCCGGTAAAGTTGGTCACTTTAGCCTACAGTACTATGTTCGAGCTGATGTGTCTGCTTGAGTTCTGGAGAAAGCCACAGATTTCTCTCTTGGCCTCAATAGCCTTTCTAGAACATCGGCTTCAGCATCTCACCTGGCCTCAGAGCTCATCAAGCCTGCACGGGGGACGGGCCCCCTCCCCCGAGATGCAAACGTGTCAGCGTGCAGTTGGCTGGACTGCCGGGTGCGCTGCTGTGTGGAGGTGTCAGTGATTCAGTCCCAAAGGCTGAATTCTGAGACCTAAAGGAGACAGAACTAAGAGAGGCATGACTCGGCTGAAAGTCACCAGAGGAGGGAGTTGAAACTTGGAGGCGGAACCCCCAGGGACAGCAAACGGATCAGCATTTAAGGGAGCGAGCGGAGGAAAAAAGCAGGAGGAAAGTCATGCCCAAAATGTAATATACTTTATCTTTTGTTTTTTTAAAAGGCATAATTTAAAATGCCTAACCGAAAAGTTGTGGTAAAGAAAATATTCTATAATGTTGGTAGAGGAGGGATTAGAAGGGTTACTTAAAAAAAAAAAAAAAGAAAAAGAAAAACCTTCAAAGGTGTTTATGACAGTAACCATTCTGCTACACTGATTTTTTTCCTGGTTTTTTAAGCTTCAAGTGTTAAAGAGGCTGTTTATGAAGCCTCTTTGCTGATCATTTCCTAGACTAAAAGAAAATCAGGGTTTACTTCATTGCTGTGGGTGGCTGAATCAGTATAAAAATCTTCGGTCCTTTTGATGTTTGCTGCCTATAGAAGTTCTGAGAAACCTGGGAAGGAAAGAAACAGACCATAAGGGGATTTTCAAACAATAGTAGAGACGGCAAGTTTTATTAATCCTATTTACTTAAGTCATTTGTTTGAGGGGAGAGGACTGTGTTTCTTTTGTTCTTAATGCCATCCTGTCAGGACTCCTGACAAAGGGAAACCAGTTCCATCAAAATGGCCTATATGTCTGTCTCTGGAAAGACAGGACCAATTAAAATCAGAAGTTGAACATAGATAAAACCAGAGTGAAATATTTTAATTTGGTAACCCAGTGGTATATTTCATTAGTGTGGCTTTTTAAAATTTCATACCCACACAATGCTTCCTTCAGTTGTGAGTCTGAAAACATTCTTATTGAAATTAGGGTCATCAGAAATTATATGTATCTTAGAAGAATTCTTCAGGGAAGAAAATCCAATGAAACTAATCACCTATGCTTCTCCTCTTCTTACTTTAAAATTTTTCTTTTTCTTGGGCACCTGGGTGTCTTAGTCGGTTAAACGTTTGACTCTTGATAATGGCTCAGGTCATGATCTCACAGTTGGTGGGATGGAGCTCTGCATCAGGCTCTGCGCTGACATCATGAAGCCTGCTTGGGATATTTGCTCTTCATTCTTTCTGCCCCTCCCCCACTCACGTGCCGGCACTCTGATGCTGTCTCTCTCAGAATAAAAAAATAGCATTAAGAAAAATAATTTTTTCCTTTCCAAAGTGGGAAAATAATTTAAAGAAACCTAATATTGTGAAGTAAACCCTCAATATGAGTTCCCTTCTTATGTAGTTGATAGAATGATAGCATCTTAAAGATGTTTTAAATGCAATACATATTAGCTGTGACATTAAACTTTATCTACCATAAACCATTTGTGAGTTCAAGAGTTACTGTGCAAATTACCCAAGTAGTGTTAAATGACAGATGTCTCTTCTTGGTGAACTCCTGTGATGGCAAGTGGCAAGCCCCGTATGTATTCAAAAATCTAGATGTAGGCTGTGTTTGTCTACTTGATAGGTATATCTAATGGCTCTGGGATTTTCTTATGTGATTTGGTAGGAGTATGATTTTTACACACTCATATGTGGCACTTAATACAAATACGTGGAATAAATGAATATATGAAGGCAGTGAGGCAAATAAATGCTGATTTGCCTGGGTAGGTTGTTAAATTCCAAATCATATTTCCTGAGAGCCAACATGTCATTTGTGCCTCTCCTGCCCATCCAAAATCACAGTACCAGGAAGCTCGTGTCATGGAAATCATCTTTGAGTTTGCCTTTTAGCATCTATAGTTCCTGATCATTCAAAGGAGCCGGACACTTGATTTGAAGTTAAAGTGGTTCAACTTCTCTTACTACTCCTCAAATGACTAAGTATGTTCCAAAGGAATACCCACTGATTAACAGAAGAGGGTATATTCAATTCATTCTTAATTTTTTATTTTGTCAACTCTTATTTACCTACAGTTTAGAAAATTTAATCAAATGTTTGCCATAACTTTAAAAATTTTAATCTTTCATTTATGGGTGAATAATGAATATTGCCTTCTGTTTTAGGCACTATGCTAGTTGTTGGGGATACAAAGGCAATTAAGACATAGCCAATACCCTCAGGAAGTGTAGTCTAACACAAACAGCACATGGAAACAAACAACTATAGTACAAGTGAATAAGTGTATATGTGTTTATGCCTATTAGTTTACTTGGATATCCATCCCTGCCTGTTCAATGGAAAGGCAAGTAACATTTCCCAAGCTGGATTCTATTCAAAAAAGCTTTGATTATCAGATAATTTGCGGAAATTAGTATACTAGTCGTCTTTTTGAGAATTCATATTGCATACCACTATATTCTAATAACTATTCTGAGAGGTCCTACTGTGAAGAAATCTATTTCACATTGTTTATCTTTCTCAAGCTTACTTGAATATCCAACACAATATCCATGGCACACATGTTAACATCCTGTGGAATATTAGCATTCCATGGGCCATCAATTTGGAAAACAAACTGATTATCACTTGGAACAGCTTGGCACATGCCCTTCTGTTACAGAGGATGAAAAGATAAGTATTCCCTTATACGTAGAAGATATGTTTACTGGTCAGGACTACTCAGAAGCAACTGAGAGAAACCTAACTCACACTAACTTAGGCAGAAGGGAGAATGAATGGGAATCCAGGAGGGAATCTTGCTTCAAGGACTCAAATGACATCTTCAGGTTCCTCTCACTCTCTTTCTGCTTCTTTACTCTTACGGGTTTGTGCATTGGAATGGACTTCCTCCTATGGGCTGGGGAAACCAGGAGGAAAAGAGACCTGGCTTGATTTAATTACATTATTTTAGGTAGTGACCGCAGAGAGAAAAGAAAGCTTTTCTTCAATATTCATATATAAATCCCCAGGGAAAGATTCTTTTTTTTTAATGTTTTTATTTATTTTTGAGACAAAGAGAGACAGAGCATGAGCCAGGGGAGGGGCAGAGAGAGAGAGGGAGACACAGAATCCAAAGCAGGCTCCAGGCTCTGAGCTGTCAGCACAGAGCCTGATGCAGGGCTCAAACTCACAGACGGTGAGATCATGACCTGAGCCGAAGTCAGACGCCCAACCGACTGAGCCACCCAGGCGCCCCACCCCCCCCAGGGAAAGATTCTGATTGGTTCAGTTGAAACTCACTGAGGGCCAATCACTATGGTCAGATTTATAATGTACTAATATTAACCATATCTGGTCACCAGGAAAAGTTGGGAGACTCTGATTAAAGGTTTCAACAGACCTACAAAGAATAAGGAAAGGCAATTTGAAGGGGATTGATAATTCTAGATTGATGATAGGGGATAAAAAAAACCTGACATGTCTACCACAATGTGGTCAAATTATTAAAATCTAGATTTAGCCATAATGGGCAGTTAGCCCTAGTATCCAATTACTTCCAGAAAGGGGGTGGGGTGGGGTGGGGAATCTGCTCTTCTAATAGTAAAGTCATTATTTTTGGAAGATATCTCCTAATTTATAAAATGGTTTATAGCTAATAATTCCAAATGTTGTGACCTCAGATGGTTAATTATATAAAAGATTTTCTTGGCTCCAGGAAGTGGCATTGCTCAAAGTTATACATTCTACGATTTTTTAAAGTGGTTGAAATGATTAACCCTGCTGTAAATATTACAGGTTAAAATTGTTGCAGTATATGATGTATTAAACAAGGGGAACTTAATTCTCTGCTTTTGGATTAGAGCAAACCCAAAATAATTGAGTAGAATCTCGACCCTCTCCCATGGTACATGGTGGCTTATCTCCAAGCAGACGTGAAGAGGCATGTGCCTAATAGGCATGTTCTAATAGGCATGTGTCATTACGTTTGTTCCTAAATTTTTTGTGTATGAAAAGGATGTCCACTCTATGCGAAGCTCAGATGCCCACTAAAGCAGCAGCTCTGCATTTAACTAGCAATATGATATAGTTACACTTGAGAGATTTGTCTGAAATGAATCTTGATATTACATGAAGAAAAAATAAAAGATCAATGGATTTGGGGGTATGAAGGAGGTGGAGGCCACAGATATTGATGCCTCAATTGTAGCAAGAGTCAGATCTCGGGGAAGATGTTTTGAAATTAAGAAAAGAAGTGGATTCACTTTGGAACCATGGGTGAACAAATAAGAAGGAGCAGGTAAGGGGCGCCTGGGTGGCTCAGTCAGTTGAGTCTCCGACTTCGGCTCAGGTCATGATCTTACAGCTCGGGAGTTCAAGCCCCACATTGGGCTCTGTGCTGACAGCTCCGAGCCTGGAGCCTGCTTCGGATTCTGTGTCTCCCTCTCTCTCTGCCCCTAACCCACTTGCATTCTGTCTCTGTCTCTCTCAAAAGTAAACAAACATTAAAAAATTTTTTAATTAAAAAAAAACACGGAGCAGGTAAAAGAGAAGGAGGAAAGGCAGAGAAGTAGGATGTACATTTCAAAGAGGTGGTCATTAGGACCAGCCATTGTGGACAGGTTAAGTCAGAGGAGCTCTAAAAGACTCTAGGTTTACAATTTGGAGTTCCTGGTGACATTGGGGAGAATGGTTTCCAGATAATGGAGGAGGCAGAGGCCGGACTGCATGGGTTTGGGATTAAATGAGAAGTGAAGAACTTCTAACAGAAAGTATAGCTTTTTCATCTAACAAATTTCACCTAGAAGGAGAAAAAAAAAAAGGAGGATGGTAGTTGAAAAGAGACACACTTTCCCCATTTGAAGAAGTTTGCATGCGGAGAAAAAAAGAATCATGAAGTGGGAGAGAGAAATATTGAAGAAATAGGAAAGGAAGAAATTCATTTCTGGAGCAAGCTCCTAGAAACAAATAGGCTTATGGGATAAAAGCCCAGATTTAATTTTTTTTTTAACGTTTGTTTATTTTTGGGACAGAGAGAGACAGAGCATGAACAGAGGGAGGGTCAGAGAGAGAGGGAGACACAGAAGCTGAAACAGGCTCCAGGCTCTGAGCTGTCAGCACAGAGCCTGACGCGGGGCTCGAACTCCCAGACTGTGAGATCATGACCGAAGCCGAAGTCAGATGCTTAACTGACTGAGCCACCCAGGCACCCAAAAGCCCAGATTTAAGAAGCAAAGGATGGGTAAAATGGAGTCTTGACAAGATTGGAAGTGGGCAGGACATATTGGGGAAACGAATGCTTATGGCCTCTGCAGTAAAGTGGGAGGTGAGGTTCTCTGCTTAAGAGGGAGAAAGTTAAGCAGCTGGTGTAAATAACATTAATCTGGAGGAGTGTTGCATGTCCAGGTAAGGTTCGACTTCATAAATGCATAATAAATACAGCAAAGAAGCAGGGCTGGAAATTGGCAGGGCAGATGTGGAAATAACAGAAGACAATTAAAGGATACTAGTGATTATACTCTTAAAAGCAGACCCAGGGATCCACAGCTGGAGAGAGAATAAAGTCTGTGTCTCCTAGCCTGGGAGGAAAGGAAGAAGTAGGACAGTAAACTTCACGAGGGAAGATCTAGCCCAGTGTCTGGCACACAGAACACAGTTTAAATATATCGTTGAAAATGGAGAGTCTGATGAGCTAAAGTAGCAGGTTGAGTAAGGCTAAATGATAAGAACATAAGGAACATAGGCGGTTAGCAGGCAATCCACTCCTAAAGTCGTACAGTCTTTATCAGTATATGTGTTGGCCCTAGACATTGGAGTCAGAACGGAATCCCTCTGTTTAAGATTTTGGCAGGAAACCGTTCTAGGTGATGCCAAGCTCCAAGTCTGGTCTAAGGAATGAGCTGTTGAAGCAGCAGGGGAGAGAATGCTGTTGAAGCACAAGGCACACTGTAAGGGTGGAGTTTTGAATAACCGTTGGTGAATGTTGGGCAGTGACCTGGGCAGCTATTAGTTGATTGCAAGAACCCAATGACAAAGAGGATGGTATAACCCCAAAGTCAATAGAAAAAGCTTTTCTGGAATTGTTGCCTGAGACCAGGAAAATGCCAGCCTTCTCCATCAACAATTTTAAAGGGAAGCAATGGTGGGGCGGGGGGGGAGGTACCCGTGTGGCTCACTTGGT